GGACGACCGCTCCAGCACACCACTCCACGCAGCATGCATGCGCGGCCACATTTCTGTCATCAGGTAATTTGTTGGGGCGCTGGGGAGAAATACACAAGGCGCCACCTCAAGTACTTCTTGTATTCCGAGCACTCATTCTTTTTTGCACCGTTGGATAACCCAACATCAACCTCATAGGTTTGTAGGGTGGGATTCTCATCTGAATCGCTGTTCTTGGGGTCACATTCTTAAGCATTGATGATGTTAGCCGGCGTTCGTTACTCCCAGGTTCTTCAGTGACTTTCCCCCGCCCCACGCAATCCGGGCACCACATGCAAGATAGTATTTTGTATCCCAATTCGAGCATGCGCGTGAGCATATGTAGTGCTGGAAGTAACCCTTTGAGGAACGAGAGGGATGCTTGGTGAACATGGTCGATGACTCAACCACCGATGCGTGACAAATGAGTGCGTGGCCCTGACTCCCTTCCGCATCGCACTACTATGCCCCTGGGAAACGCCTAAATACGTATTTTTCGTCCGTTTCACGCGAGCACCTACGATGAGGCTCATCATTCGTCCCCGACAGGTCCAAGCCGATGATGGATCGGATTTTGCCGTGTTGCGTGGTGTTCTTGCGGTGATACATACCGTGGTTTTGGTTGAGAACACAGTGTCCAAGATACCTAAGCCCGTTCAGGCTTGAGACCCCTTCCCATCATGCATTCGCACCGGGTAAATTGCGCAGTACGGTTATTGATGAAGACCTGGTGATCCAGAGTGCAATTGAACCCGTGATTGTCTGCAGGAAAGGGTGATCATCTCAACCTCACTTCGCCAAACAGTAGATATTGGACTGTCTGAGTAGTGGTGGTTGTCGAAGCTCCCGATCCGCGATTCACCGGACCACCTGTTCTGTTTTGCTTGGGAAACGTTCGACGTAGGAAGTCGATCACGAAACATGATACTTGTCACCTCACGCGGCGCGCACCCCTTCCACTGTAGGCTCTTGGTGGAAGCCGGCGGAGACACTGTGGCTGTGGACTGCAAAAAACGGTCACCGGGTGACGTTATCGGTAAATAATGCAGTTGTGACTGGCCCCTAAACTAGGCATTTCTCGAACAGTTGGTTGTTTCTCAGTAGTTTGAAGTGGGGGTACTTGAACCAATCGGAGTCCGTGGTGTGTTGAGAACCGGACAGCAAATGCGTGTAGCGTAGGCATTGCCACCCGGGCTCTGTAACATGAACAGGATTACGGCAAACATCTGCTTGTTTTGACACATACCATATCTGGAGAGGAATGGATTGGTTCGCTTCGAGCTTACTGTCTAGATGAGGCAGATGTAAGCTTCGACACTGCACATCAGAATGATTGTCTCTTAGGAGTGGCCCCGAGAGCGAATGAGAACATGTGAAAAGGCTCCTCCGGGGTTATCGCGAGTAAGGGATGGAGTGTTTCCAAAGAACAACAAGAATGTCGGAGAAATGTCTCCGAGGGGGTTTGATTCTGAAGAGCAATGCTTGAACACACCAGGAAGCACCGTGCCACTTGTTATTTTTTTGGACTAGGATATAATGGGCACTTGCCTCACCGGGTGCCGATTGTACAGGAACACTCACAGCGACATCAGAATTGTAGCGAACATATAGGCAAGCATATTTTGTGGCAGGCGCGAGATTTGAAAAAGCCACCGGGAAAAAAATGTCTGAGTGAATCGAGAGAGGAGATCTTGAAACCAAAGCACTTCGCACTCCGGGGTGGCCAGAAACTTTGGGAAATCTTAGGTCATCGGGAGGGGAGGGTACAAAAGAGCTGATCGTGCTTAGTTCAGTGCATTTCGAACATATTTCGACCTGCCCACACAATGGACAATAGACTTTGTCGCTTCTGTGGAGAGGGATTTAAGTCGAAGAATTGAAACGCCGCTCAATGCGGATTCCCAACACAGGTGAAATGGGCTATGTTAAGCACGATCTTGCCAAGGCCATCAAAACCGTCTTGAACTCCGCGTCCGGTGGTTTCCGAGAGCAAGCGGCCGAGCTTAAGCGGGTGAGCGACCCCATCGATGTGGCCGAATCGACATATTCGTCTGTGCTATTGTTTCGCAAACGCAAAATATCGTGGCTGATGTGCGAGTCGGTCGTGATTCTGTCTTATTTTGCGCCAGACGGACCTTCTTTCTTCTTCACCGTTAGCTTGGTCGTTTTTTCTGAAGGGAACACTTGTCCCTCTCGAAGTGGGGAATCGAACCCTCATGCACAAGAACGCTGGTAGGTTGGGTCAGGCCGTAGTTACAGAAGTAACCGGTCTGCGGCATTGTTCATCTGAGTACCGCTGAAAAGGCATACCCAAAAGCCTCCCACTGCTGTCCGTCCCCGATCAGCGCTGGCTGAGTAGGCGACAGACAAACGTTTCACCATCGGATTCTGTGGCGAGGGGGTTATGGGTAGAGAAATTACCGCACGGCGCATCCAGCCGGTCAAGCATACTTCCGCTATCCCAAGGTCTAAGGAATTCCATTCTTTCCCGCCACCTTCCTCGTATGCTCTGTATCCTTTCACTTCGGATACTTCCAGGAAAAAGAATCGCTGAAAATGGAGGTAGAAACAATAACGAAGCGGCTGCATGCAGTCGAGGGAGAACTGGAAAACGCTGATCAGGAAACCACTCAGGTGCACGAGCTTGTGGTACATAAATCAAAAGCTGAGGGAGGAACGGGTCCTGCGTAGTATTTATGCTTGATCTGTGACGCGTGTTCGGGAAGGCGGATGACGTCGTGTGCTGAGATCCATGTGAATTGCTCTCTTCTAGCGTGGGGTACGCCGTGTCTGAATCCCACCCATGTTCATTGTGAAACCAATGTGTCTCTTAGCTTGCACATCGCCTCATACTATGCTGGACGCATCCCGATAACACGGAATGAAACCGTTCCGAGGCGAAATTCCGTCGTGGTGCGTCGTAACCCTCATTACGCGTAACCGTCAATCATGTTCAACGATGGTATTTTCTGCTGAACCCTTGTAACCTAAATACGCTGTGTAATCTTTCGATGCTCCACGTTATGACCTGCAACCATGTACAGTGCCTATGCTATTCACGATGGTGGATAGTGTTGACCTCCCGAAACCAATCGTTGGTATTGCTGTGGACTTTCGTCAGCTGAAAAATTTGGTCAAGAAGATGGAGGAGGAGATTCGTCAGCTACGGAGCGCGGCGAGCAAGGAGACTCAGAGGCGGAAGAAGAATAAGATCCCATGCACCGTTTCTTAGTGCAAGTTGCATGCACTATTGCTTCGTGCATGCTGTAGCCGGGTGTGTTGGACTTTTGGAAAACGCAAACAGCGCACATGGACAGCAACTCTGGTTGCGTGCTGGTTGATTTACTCCGCTGTGTCGGGACCCCGTAGCATCCATTTTACTCAAGATATCTCACACACCATGTGCCTCTCCTCAAAGTGGGCATTGCTGTGACCACCAGAAAAGGAGGTTAGACCAAGTAGAGTACCAAGCATGGGGGATCATGGAGCCTCTTGGGAATTCGAAGAACGTGAGAGTACCTCGACTGCAGTGGCTGTCGGGGGCACTTGTTCACACGCAGAGAGTGGCAGCTTTCGCGTCATATTTGCTTGGGTGTCCGAGCCCTAAGTATTCGATGGGGTCCAAGCCACCGTGACATGGGAGTATGACTTCCGAAACAAACAGCTTTCAAGCAGGGACTGCGGAGGGTATCTGAAGCGGGCATCCTATTACCGGGAGAGCATGATCCAGTCGGAGCCAGCTGTTCTGGGGAAACCGTTCTCGTTGGCCGACATCTTTGCACAACATAACTGTATGGGCATACCGTCACATAAACATGTATCATACCCTTCGCCACTGAAAATGAGCATCCCGGTGAGGGGGCTGCCTTGAAATGAGACAAAAACATTCCCCCGCTAGGCCAATGCCACGCGTCTCTCAGCATCCGTTTTGAGTCTTGGAGGGTGCACCCATGGCTAAACTCCAGGACCAATTGTTGTCCCGCGAGGATATCCGGAGTCGCACGATTGCTCCCTAGGCCACAGCAGAGTAGACTCTCTGAAACACTCGCCCATGCGTATATCATGAGCAATTCAGCCGAACCTTCGCCGGGCTATATGCCATCATCTGCGGAGGTTGTACGATGAATACCACGTCCAAACGAAAGCGGGCCACAGGGCAATATTTGTTAGCTTATCAGCACACGGATTAGAACCATAGGCCAACCTGGTAGTTACGATCCATGGGTCCCATCCGAAAGGGGAAAGAACGCACACCAATGAATTGGTCTTCGTTTTTCCTTCCTTCAGCCATGCCATAGCATGTGCGTCGGTCGAGCAGGAAAGGTAGCCGCATCCCGATACAACGGCGTCCGCTACGTGTTACATATCCAGGCCCCGGTTCCAATCGTACACACTCGGAAGCACATGCAGTTTCTCGGGTGCGGGCTTTTGATGCAGGAATGCCCCGCCATACCGTGTAACCGTTGCTGAAAGAAACAAGCAACGTACAAAGTTTCAGCACTCACAGGGGGAAAGCCCTTGCTTGTTCTCGATCGTATCGTCCGCCCCATTATTGATGAGGTATTCTCCCATCTTCCCGCTAGAGTCGTACGACATGGCAAAGTGAAGCGGCGTGTTTCCTGTGGCGTTGCGATGGTTCACGTCCGCCCCACGCTGAACCAAGAACTCGACGACAGGCATCTTTGACCATTTACGCCGACAACACATACCGGCAGCGACGAGAGCATCAGTCAAAGCAACGTGGGCAGTTTGTGGGGGTGAGATATATTCTGGAAGAAAAGCATCACCACGTATCAAAAACGTCGCACCAGGACCTCAACAACACCGATACCAAACAAAGAAACGGATCCCGGGCGGCCAAAGGGAGATTGTAGCTGGTGCTCAACCTCCCGGGGGTTAGGTTGGGATGTTGGGGATCGACCTTGGACGACATGTAATCTACGCTGACAGATTGGACCAACGCCGCAATCCGTGATGCGTGGCTAGCTGCATACGTCGGCGTGCAACCTGATCCTCGGGAGGTTGCGGGGCCGTTGTGCACCAGATACAACCTACCTTTGCCACCCGTGTTGGCCTACCACTGCGCTCACTGCATCGGAGTGAGTGAACGAATTCTTTAGGCTCAACAAAATGCTGCTCGAACACACCACGCAACTCCAATGTCTTCAGACACAGCACAGATACCTGTAGCTGCTGAACGGCAACGAGTAGAAGGGTGTTGCCCATGGAGTCTTCCGCGTTGATATCGAAGCCCGAATTTAATGTCTCTACCAGGCGCTTTTTCTTGCCATGTCTCGCCTGCGCGCCGAAGCACACAAGTCGCAAGCAGGAAGAGTTAGGAATAAATATCGTTGCTTTTGACAGCACGGTCACCCATCATGCCGTGGCTGCCGGTGTGCCACACATGCGAGGCAGGCTTATCTCTATGCCAAGGGCGAACGTCTACGGAATGTAGTCTAGTCTCGTACTCTCTCCCGACGTTAAAAAAGTGGCGAGAGGCCTCAACAGTGCGCAATCGTTGCCGTTGACAAATTGCATACCTGAGAGAATGCGGTGTCCACGTCGGGAATCTCTTCCCTTATGGACGTCGCCTGGTCCTCTCGTCTGACGCTGCTCGCCATCGACTGTTCGGCCGCAGAAAGGGGGGTGAGCTTCTGCCGTGCCAGCAGCAGCTTCTTGAGGTGTAGCTTGTGCTCCATCCCGATCGAGTCCATGAGATCTGACTCCCGTAGCTCGCCCAGGAAGCTTCCATCGACCTGGTTGGTTAATCCAGTTACAATGACAGACTCGGTCCGTGTGCGGTATTTGACGAAGGAGCTATGACAGGGTGTTGACGAAGGTTGTGTGTCCTTGCCAACGGGGTGCAAAGATGAAATGCACCCCTACTTTGCACCCGTGTTTCGATACACTCAAATCTATCAGTCTGCCCATGGGATACTTCGCCGGCCCTTTGAAGCTGAAAACGAGGGTTGACAGTACTCCAGTGCATCTTCGCCTCTTCCCCCAGCAGCGAAACCCTCAAAAGCATGGTTTCCTTGACTCTCACTTTTCCCTCCCGGAACGCCTGCTTGTACTCTCCGAGCTGTAATGTGTCCAGCCACCGGCACACGTCGTCCACGGTCCACAAGCACAACTCTGTCGGGAAAGGATGCCGTTGGCTGTTCTCCGCCTCCTCGATCTCCGCTCTTGTAGCTTTCACCTTCTCCCTGCGCACCGCCAGAGCTTTCGTAACTACCAGGAGGAATGCGCAGGTGGGGTAGGGCGTGTGCGTGTGTGAGAGGATGAATAGGGAAAGCGGTCTATCCGAGAGGCCATCGAAAATGAGCCGCCCTGTTCATTGCTTTGTGTCCCCGTTCCTTAGATTGTTTGTGATGAGCATCTCTAAGATCAGTACCATGCATATACAAAGTGGAAAGACCTCCTTTTGACACCGCATTCCTTTTTTTTTCTCTTCGTGAGGCTGAACTCGATTTTTTCTACACGTGGAGTCTCGAGAACTTGCTCTCACCGGCGTCCCCTCCGAGATCTCCGGTCTGCTTGAGTGACGGGATGCTAGCAGCCGCTGCGGAGGCAGCCGCGGCCGCCGCAGCGTCTGCGCTGCCTGCGATAGCCGCCGTTGTAGTGTCCGCGTTGATGTCTCGCATCTGCTCGACGCCGAACGATTTCGATGGGAAACGAACAGAAAGGAAGAACAGGAAACATAGAGCAGCAGTTGATCAAGAAGCAGCAACGATTGCTGGTGTTCTTGGTGGAGGTGGTAAGGAACGACCGCAGGGCTGCGGGGGAGGGCAAACCCCACCAAATTGTAACCACCTCGACAGAAGCAACTTCTGGTCGGATCTCTGAACGAATGATGCACCGCAAAACACAGGCTGACCTTCCATCTATTGAGGAAATGAAAAACAAGGCGTTCCAGCAGCTTTGCACGCGACAGATACATTCCCAACTTCAACCTTCTTGGACGATGCTGACGCTGCGTTTGGTAGCTACAGCACAGACACAGATGATAAAATACACACTCCGGCCGCACCTGCTTCATCATGTTGAGGCTACTAAAGTAGCTAAGTGACATGGACATGAACTGGAACTTCATCAGCTCCTCCGTCTGCCCGTACATAGCCGCCGCTTTGGCCTCATGATCTCGGGCGCGTTGCGCGGTGGCGGCAGCCGCAGCAGCGCTGGTGGCGGCGGCCGTTTCTAGCTGGACCCCCTTCTCGCGGACGATGTCCAACTCTCTCTTCTGCTCTGAAAGGAGCTCCATCAAGTTGCGCTGACGAAACAGGAGGAGGAGGCGGAGGAGGGGGTGATAATGCATTTGACATTTGATCTCCGTGCAATGTTTGCATACCACCCAGCTCAATTAAGCTGAAAGGACTCCCAAAAACTGGATTGGGGTGAGCTGTTGAAGCTTGTAGACGGCGACAGTATTACACTATCGAGAGGGCCAATTAGTATATTTTTTCAAGTTCACAGCCCTGCCCACATATCGCACAAGTAGGGTGACCTTTGCCCCTGTCAATCAAATTTAGCTCCAAAACGAAAACCTCGCTCAATCGGAAACTCCACAACGCAACCGCGATCGTGTACTGGGGAATACCTGCATGTGTCCAAACTCCCGTGACTTTCTTTGCCGCGTGGCCTCAATATCCGCCACGGCCGAGCTCAGGCGATCCAGCTGCCGCTTCTTGTCGGAAACATCCGCAAAGGTCGACGCGAACTCAGCGGACAGCTGCACGCGCCGCTGCTCCCGCTCCGCCCGCTTCAGCTGCAGCTGCATCTCCAAGGCGTACGCGTCCTCCTTGTTCAACTCCTTCTTCCCTCGCCCCTTCCTCCCTCCCCCTCTGCCATCACCGCTACCGCTACCGAAGTCGTCGTGGTCGTCGTGGTCGTCGTCATCTCCATCGCCCCCCCCGCCGCCGCCGCCGCCGCCGCCGCCGTTCTTCGAACGCGGTCTCCCCGTTTTCGGGATGCCGGCAGCGCCCGTGATACCTCGCGATATCAGGTCTCGCTCGTGCGTCAGCTGCACTAGTTCCCTCTCGATATGGTCAATCTATAGAGAGAAGGGTGTCAAGCGCCAGAAGGGGAGCAGTAGTTGAAGGCATGGCTCTCGATATATAGAGAGAAGGGTGTGGAGAGGGACGAAAGAGGAGGCCCGAGGGGTGTAGATGCAAGAACGGAACCAGGGCAAAGAGGGAAGTGCCTGTCCCCCCTAGACGCATCCTGTCTTGCTATTGATATAGCGGATGATCTAATGTGTAGAGTTGCTATGCCATGCCTTCTCGGGGGTAGCCGCTTTTTCGCAGTTTGGTGTGTTCGAAAGGATGCGCGTACGACGTGTGTCGTGGGTCGCAGACCCACCTATCCCACAGTTTTGTCTCTTTCGGCTAAAGAGCTCCGATCCGCGTTCTCACAAAAATTTACTCCCATTTGTCCCTTCGAGGTTGACATATCTTCCTGCCCAATTATCACGGCAGCCATTACAAACACCTTCCAGGACTAGTGTCGAGAAGCTCGGAGACCACCCCCACGCACCTCCGCCATTTCCCTCTCTAGTACGCTAAGCTCAGACTCCGAGGCGGTGAGCTGATGATGGATGGAGGACACGCGAGCTTCGGCTTTTTCTTGCGCCCGGTTGAGGGCCGCGATCTCGCCTTGTTGTTTGACGAATGCCACCTGTTTTGCGATATTGTCATGTTCTACTTTAAGCAAGGGTCGCTGGACTGAAAAAAACCCATCGCAGAGTACGTCGTAGGTATGGACATGCGTAGTTTGCAGCATAGCGAGCTGTGAGCCTGGACACAGGCAGATAGTAAAACCAGATCTCACCCACAAGTAATGAGTATGGCAGTACCGCTTAGGTTTGGTTCATCGTTCCGAACAGGTATTTTGTGCTACGATGACGCTAGGACAGCGATAGCGGAGGTTCCATTGCTTTGTCGCCCCTGATAATGCCCCCGTGTTGATGTTCTCGATCGTGGGCGTATACAAAAATGAATCACTCCAGCGACGAAAAGATATTGAACTGGAACCAATTATAGGAACAGTGGTGGTCCATTCCCGATACTCTCTGCACTAACTTCAGACTTCCGGCAATCAGATAGCACGACCATGTTATCGACCGTGATCATAAAAAATCAGCTTGTGACGACATTCTCGCCCGTGTCCGCACAATGACCGGCTTGAAGCATTCTGGGCAGAATAGCTCATCTCCGGGATCGATGGTCGCTCGTTGACGCCGCGATTGAGCTCACTCCAACACCAAACACAAGCTTGCTGGGGGGGCTCCTTCACTTCAGCCGCACACACACGAATCGTACGAATCGCGCGCGCCCCACCTTAGTGTCTTCGATCATGCGCAAACCCAGCTTCAGGCGTTCTGCGCCGGGCCCCGCCGACTGCCACTCCCGCCTCCGTCGGGTTGCCCGCCTCCCGAGGTGGCCGCGGTACATGCGCTGAATCTCGCGGCTAGCCAGCCAGGAGCACCGAGCGCGGAGGTAGTTGTCCCGCGCCATCTTCCCTCGCCAAGCCGACTGGAGCTTGGTTGCTGACGATGCTCGGGCGGCAAACCGCGCCAGCAGCGCACGTTTGCGTGCCGCCACTCGTCTGGCGACAAAGATGGGGCCGATGGTGTGAGTTCTTGTACTCGGTATAACAAGGCGCAGGAGAACAGCGCATTGGTCGTGATGTCTCGCGGAAGCTTCACCGCCCGTCCGCGTTTCATGAACCCTTGTCCCCCTTTTTTGTTTTGTGCTGTTTTCTTCTGCGCACTGTTTTTGTCTCTACATTCGTGAGGGAAAGGGGCTGGATGAGGCTCTGTGGCGGAGGACTGTTGTCTGAGGAGTCCCTGTACCGTTGTCCCCTACCGAAATCTCATCGTTCTTTAACAAACGAACTTGCCCAAAGCCATCTTGCATATGGGGCAATGATCTGCCTGTTACCGTTGGCCTTGGACACCAACCCCCAGAATCTGAAGCACGCGTGACATAAGCACACGATACCAGTACACGGCGGCGGAAAAACGGGTCATAAGAAACCCTTCATCCGTCCCATTTCACCTGCCCAGGAAACCGCGGGCCGCTTTTTGCAGCACCCGACACCGCACGTCCCTCAGCTTTTCGACGAACACCAACCGTCCGAGTCGGCCGCGGTACACTCTCTGTATCGTGGTAGCTCGACCCCCGAGGATGCTCTCGTCGAGACGCTGCCGGCGCATGCGGCGTACCGATATTCGCCTGAGGTGGCCCCTCACCAGCGACTGAATTGCCGTTGCAGCAGCGATCTGCGAATGAATTCCGTCCGTGAGAAGGTGGAAGGAAACGAATAACACGTGTCACTGCGTCAGCTGTGAAGTACGGCATGTCCTTGGCAGTGTAGAGTACTCCGTCCCGAAAAACTATGTCCAAGTTGCATGGTGCTAGACAGGATAACAATGATCGAGGATCTCGCTGCGAGAATTGAAACGGTCTACCCCACCCATTTAGAGCATCCAAATGCAGCGCACGTCGAAATATCGGCGGGGGTATTGAAAGCTTCACATCCTGATTCAAGAGTTTGTCTACTCGCAACCAATTCGAACAAGTCAGGCCTTTCCAAAGGTTCGGTATGAAACCAGCAGTCGTAGATTGTGTTTCATGCCACGGCAGCGACTCTCACTTCTCACCTAGGTGACGCGGTCGACAACGAACTGCTACCCAAGGTGAAGCCGCGATGGTGTCTTAGTTTGTTGCGTAGCAGCTACAGCATGTATCACCCTCAGAACTCACCTTCTCCTGACTAGTCGAAAGCGCGTACTTCAAACGCTCAACTCGCATCCTTGCGAGCCTCTGCCTGGCGAACATCTGCAGCCTCACGGCCATCGCAAGCATGGTCACGGCCTTTTCCTCCGCCGTCTGCCCGTGCAGGATCTCCAAGCGCTCGATCTGCCTGACCTGCTGCCGCTGCTCCACCCTCTCGAACGCCTCCAAGGTCATGCCGCTGCCGCCGGCGGCCTTCGCCCGTGCTTCCAGCCGCTGCATCTCGTCGAGCACCTTGTCCGCCGGACGGTTGAGGCTTTTCTTTATCGACGCCGGGAGCTCTTCCTGCTCGGTGAAGTGCTGTGGACGCATGCCCCTCACGGGCATAGGCGTGGCCCCCGTCGTCTCCGCCGGCGCCGACCTTCTTGGTGCCACCGCCAGCACTTCGTCGTTCTCGTCGAACTCGGCGCCGCGCTGCAGACGGCTGAGGTCGGCCTCACGCCGCAGCTCCGCAAGGCGCCGCTTCTCGGCCTCTAGAGTTAGCCTATCCTGCTCGACGAAACCCTTGGCGCGGGCGGCGCGTTCTCGCTCAAATTTCGAAGCGCGCTCGTCATTCAGTGCCTCGTTCTGTTCGCGCTCGGCTGCGAGGCGGTTGAACTGCAGCCGGTCAACCTTTTCCGCGAGCTCGGCCTCCGCAACCGCTACCGCAAGCGGTTCCGGGAGTCGGCAGGGTCCCCCGTTGCTCGCGGCGGTGCTGTGCTCGGTTCCCTGCATCCAGTCTCCGGCCGTTCGCTGCTCGGGAGTCGCGATGGGGTCCGGACATTCCATGGCTTGGGCGATCTGTGGTGCGGTGACTACCGCAGCGCCAGCGTTGGTCTTAGTGTCAGCAGTGATTTTGGTGGTCTCTGGTAGCGTAGTAGAAGGCGCTTCGCTCCTGCCGGACGGGGTAGGTTCTTGATCCTCAGCGGATGGCGGATCGACAGAACATTTCTCGACCCCGTTCTCGCTCATCGTCACCCTTGGGTCGTCGGTTGTCGCTGTTTGTTCCTCTTGCGTCAAGGAAACACCCTTGGCACCTGCTACGACTCCCCCGCCCCCTCCTTGGGTGGAAACGTGCGCATCACGTGTCACGAGACCCTGGGTATTCGGGAACGGTGGGGGCGGCCGCGATGGATCTGCTGGCAGCAAAGCTAAAGGGCCGTCGGTCGCGCTTGGTTCCCCGGCATCAACCACTCCCTCCGGCATTCCGGCATCTTCGCCTCTCCCTTCCGCCGCCGGAACTGTGGTTCCAGAATTCACGCCGGGAGAACCAACTCTCGTGCTCTCGAGAAGGCTAGCGAGTCTGGAACCCACGGGATCTAGTGACTGCGTGGCTTGGAGACCTTCAGGAGCGATGATTCTTCCTTCACCCGTACCGGGCTCTTCGTTCCCAGGCGGAGGACAAGTGGACACAGGGTAGTCCGGCGTGCGTCCGTGTTCCGTGCCAGGCGGTGTCATCTCACGGACCTCGGAATCGCCAATCGGGTCCTGCTTCAATTTGAGCTCGACTTTGAAACCACCCACGTCGGCGTGGCCGGATGGCAGTGTTGTAGGTGGTGCACCGGCCTTCTGCGTGGTACTGGTCACCTGAGTTATCCCAGTGCTTGTTGCACCGCCATCTCGGGTGGTAATGCTCGTATTTCCAGCTGGCATGCCCCCCCGATGTTCATCCAATGCAAGCGTCTCCCGAGGGCCGTTACCTTTCGCGAGATCCATGGTCGCCCAAGACGTCGCTTCCCCGTCGAACCAGCTGGTTGCCGCCGTGTCGTGGAGTGGAGAACCCATCGCCCGACCAGGTCCCTCCTGTGACCTGCTACCACGCTTTCCTGGTTCGGTGGTACTGTTCCTTCCTGGGGAAGCCAGCGAAGGCACCGGTATTGTTGACCCAAGCCCCCTTCGTTTGCTGCGGTGATCGCGAAGGGCGTCGTCGAAGTCCGCGATGGCCTCATCGAGCGTGACAACCTCGCCCCCGATGTTGTCGTCCTGGTGCAAGGGGTCGTCCCCATCAAAAGCCTGCGACAATCCTGCCCGGGACGGCGATGGACCGGATCCCTGGCCCTCACGGCCGTGGTATCGTAGACTCTCTGACGATCCCGATCGATGATCCCGATCGTGACCGCGTTGCTTTCGGGGACGCTTTCCGGGCGAAGCAGGAGCGGTGAACGCTCGAGAGGACGGTCGTGTTCTCGACGAATCTCGGTCCGCCGGCGATGTTCCACCTCGGTTCAGTGGGCAGGTTCTCCGAACACAATTCCTCGGGAACTTTCGGTATTGCGGTCAGGGGAGGGTAAGTGAACATCGGAAACGGTGGGACAAGCGTAGCATTCTGAAGAAATCGGAAACGAAAAACTCACGCGATCCAACACACGCCACCGAATCTAGGTCTGGTACGAGCGTGGCTATCCACTTGAACAAATTGCAAACTAGCACATTGGAACAGTCGCAAACCCATGCAGCACGAATGCCGCCTGCTGGCAACGTCCCTAGCCGGTCATCTAGGTTGCAACAAATAAATGGCGTCGCGGGTATATTTTCCCACCAACGAACGGGCTAGACGTTTCCGGCTACAGTACCTCAGGGAGGGGTTCTCGCTCCTTGATCTTCCGGAGTGATGCGTAGCCGTATGCCGACCCTGACGTCCCGTCTCGTTCCACAGTAGCTGCCTCACCTTGGGCAACCCCCACTGCCCCCACCGTTGCCGAGTTCGTATCCTCTCCTGCATCTCCTCCCCCTGCCCGTCCTCCTTTCCCCTCCCCTCCTTCGAGCGCGTTCGAGTCCTTCGACATCGTGCCATCCATTGCAGTCGTTCCAGTATGTATCATCCCGCCGCCGTTGCCCTCCTCCCTTGTCATAATGTTTTCCCCGCTGCTACCGCCGACGATATCTAACCCACTTTCTCGTGCCTCACCATCGACGAACGACCTTGTTCGCACCGCCGCCCCCGCCTTGGCCCCTCTATTCCCTTTGGCGGCGATGCCCACCCTACTCCCCGAAGGTCGCTTGACCTGCGCTCCTCTCCGGAAGAAGCTGGCCTCCTGCCCACCCGGAGCAGCAAGTAGGTCCAGCACGTCCACGACGAGCCGTTTGCACTCTTGTCGCGTCTCGTGGCCACCCTTCACCCACGCTACGAAGGCGCCCCCGGCGCCGGCCGACAGCGACTCGAAGAGCGCCAGCTCGCCTCCTGAGCCTATGCAGGAAACGGCGTTTTCCCCGCGGTTCCCAGCGACATTGCCGCTGTTGTTGGCCGCGGAAGCACCACCTAGGCGAAGCTGATGCGACCAGACGTGGCGTGGACGGCGCCCCTCCAGGAACGGGTCGACATTGGCCGCGTTAATCAGCACGTTGTCGGTCGACTGTGTGGTATTGATGAATTCGAGTTAGCGGTTTCGTTCGAAAAGACCCCCGTTGACATGATGGGTTGTTCCCGTGGTGGAGGAGACCATGTGGCAGTGGGGATGACGCCCGTGGTATTGGTCGTGGCGGTGCAGATGACGATCGTGTTGGTGTCGACGGCGGTGGTGGTGATGGCCGTGGTATGCGTTGCCGGTCGCGTGGAAGGTTGGCGCCAACCCCCGTCAGATGGGATGCAACGCCAATCATCGGGGGTGGTATACAGTGGTACTGTAGGTCAAGCAGAGAATTTTTCCGGGACTAACATTGGTGGTACTAAAGTAGATTCGGTTCCTCGTCTAGTGTCTGTCTATGGAGTCCTCTGTTTTTCAGCCATGGAATCGAAACAAAACTCCTATATCCCCAAATCCAAACATAGTTGCTGCTGTCTGTGCGGTGGATACCATGGTAGGCATACATTTAATCAAAATCCAGTTGTCCTCAGAAAATAGAACGTCGAGCTTGTTCACCTGGACGAGCACAAGAGGTAGCGCCATCGTCTTGAGATCTTTCGTCAGGTCGCGGCTTCTGAGAGCACCCCTCACGATGCGGAGCATTCCTTCGACGCCCAGCGGGTTGGCCACAGCGCACAGAATGTTGAGGGCGAGATCTGACCCGATGGACTTCAGGTAACCCTCGCTGAAGACAAACCTGAGTGAGATGTTCGAGACAGGCCGCCAGTAGCTCAAAATCGGTGTGAAGGCGTTGGTGGAGGCAGAGGGGCTCTATCACCTTGTGCTTGTTCAGGTGCCTAATGCGCTGACAGCAACATTGTTCCTGTTCAGCCTAGGAACAACAAACTCTTCCCCTCGGGCAATGCTCCCTCTAACATTTATATTGCACGTGACGCTATGTTCTTCTGACAGACCCACTCACCTGCTCCAAAAGGAGATAGGAAGATCGGGTCTCTCGGGAGGGAAGCACTCGAACGCTCTTTGCGCAGAGTGCAACACCGCCGCAAGCTGTGCGTCCACAGTCGCAAAGCCATTGACGCACGCCAAGGACCTCAGAGTTGGTTTCCATTTGTTCTTGGAGGCGTGATGACAGGCGAAGGCGGTCGCGATGCTGGCGCCGTTTCCGATCCCCAGCAGGTGGAAAGGCCGATCCGATAGTGGCATCTCGCCCATGTTGTCCACGTGCTGAGTAGAGGTGGTTTCGTATGGGGAAGAAGAGCAACGGACAGCTTTGAAATACGAATCGACCAACCTCGCTCACTTAGTTGGACGTCAAAAACTGCCGATTGGTGTTTTATTGCCTAGCCGTAATTTGTCCAGGAAAGGAGAGCGGAATTGGGGGAACCGTCCGTAGTACGAGCGTGGCCACACCAGCCTAGTTTTACAACGTTTGACGCAGACGTTGCAGCTATTTGATCCAACACAGACAGCAGTACTTCGATAGAGGCACGCCTCATAGGTGCAGGTGCTCTTGTTGGTTCCCCTTCTCTTTCCCACTTCGGCCAGTATCTAAAATGTCTGCAGTTGCTATGCGTACCTGCATCAACTCGTCCAGCCTATCCGCAACCCAGACATTGGTTAGCAAGCCTTCAGGCTCAGGCGGAAGGCGCGTCCCAGCCTGGCCCGGCGAGTTGAAGCATAGCACTTGACACCCCGGATACTTCAGAACGAGCGGCTTGAAAAGCAGAAATGTCTTCTCCAGCGTATCGAAAAAGTCGTGAACCACCACGAAACTTAACACCCCCCCGTTCGCCACGCCCCCCTCTTGACCGGGTCCCCAGTCTTTCTCGCCGCCGCCGCCGCCGTTTTGCTCCCCCCGCCCCCCCTCAGTACCCCCCAACGTTGGCACCGACAACAAGGGCGCTCCAGTTCCGATGACGGCGTACGGCATGAGCGTAACTCCATCCGCACACAAAAACTCAGACCTTTCGAAACCGGCCGGGTCAGGCGCCGCCGCCGTGGCGTTCGCGAGCCTCTCGCCCACCCGGTCCTGGCGGCGTTTTGCCGCCGCTCGGCCCGCCCGCGTGGTCTGTCCTCTCCCTCCCCCCACGCCCGACCCCGGCGCTGGATGGCGTGAACTGCCGTTTCTGCCCACCGCAGCAGCCGTGCTTTTGTTACCGGTGTTGCGCAAGCCTGAACCCGGGGCAGTTCCTGCGCGGCTTGGTGACCCAATCACTATCGTCGCGGCGGAACCACATCCCGGCCCCACCCCCCCTGGAATCCAGGCTTGCTGTGGCAGTGCCGGCTGCGGAAGGCTTCGGGGGTTGAAGCCTACAGTAGTGTTGGGCCTTGTCTCGCCACCACGGCCACCCACGAGGTGGCCTTTCGAGCATTGGTGTGTACCAGTCGAAGAATCATTGGCAGCTGCAGCAGCGGTGGCGGTGGTGGCGGCGGTACCCGGCGCGGGAAACGGGTACACAGTTGGGCCAAGCGCAACCGTAACCCGTGACGGCGTAGTAGAACTCGTCCAACGGCGGGTGCTAGCGACGTCACCATCAGTCGTGCCGTTGGGCAAAGAATGCCGATCTCTTGCGAGAAACAGCGGCGTGTTGCTGGGTTGTGCTTGGGCCACGGAGGAGGCCGAGGGGAATGGGGGTATCGAAGAAGGCAAGCTATGCTTCTGTCGGTGGCGGCCTCCGTTGCTCGTGTTGGCTTCCAGCCCGGGTCCTTGCGTAAGCGTGCTGCTACGCGAGTGCCCTCTGCCCGTGCGCCATCTATGAGCTTCCTGTTCGCGTGAGATCGTTGTGTTCTGCATGATGTATGATGTTTGCGGCGGCATACTCTGGTGTACGGACGGACGGTCGGGTTGAAACGCTACCCACGTCCTTCGAAGGACAGGAATGAATGGGACAAGCTCCGAACTCACAAGCACGTGTAGGATTGTGTGTCACAAAGCACGCTTGCTCTTTACCGCATAAAACTCATACACGCCCCCACTTCCCTCCGCTGCTAATGGACACACGTGTCACTCACCAGGACTCCAAGAACCCAGGCACATATCTTTGACGCCGGGAGCGACACGCACGCAACGATTTCCGGTCGGAATGCCGGGTTCCTGGTGTAAGTCTCCAACTTCCTTGTCTGGGAAACCCTAAGGGTGTTCAGGTTCAGTCCAGAAATCGCTGTAAAAAGCTTGTCAATGTTGGTCATGTACCGTCTCGCGGACAGCCAACCTGCGGCAGTGGGTTCTCCTTGTCCGGTTAGTGCAATCATCAACGCGGCCGTCACCATGTTCACCGCCGCCGGGGGCTTGGCGAACGACCGGAGCTCGCAGATATCTCCCCGGGTGAGTCCGTCAATGGCGGCCTGGGCGCGCATTAGAGCACGGCTTTCTCCCGACAGCGATGTTTCGTTCTGTCGTTCCCACCCTTTTTCCTCTATCCCCTTTCCAAGACAAGCTCCCTGAGCAGTGGAGAACGTCTGGATGTCGTCAGGCGGCTGACAGACGCCCCGACTTGGGCTGCCACCGCGAATCTGGGCATCCGCCGCTTGTTCTCGAGACGCGTTACTCTGGACACGACTCACCCACTCTCCCCGCCGCGTTTCGGCCCCACTTCGTGCTCTTTTCGGGGCTCGCTGATGCTGTCCTCGGATGCCATTACTACAATTTACACCCTGGTCTGCATATAGCTCTGTCCCCATTTCCCCTGCGGCTGCCGCCGCCTGTGCATCGAGCCGTTTTACGGACTTTGTTCTGGCCTCGTCTACCATGCTATAGACACGGTAGCAATTCCCGCAGACCCGAACGGGCTTGTAGTAGGTGGCCGGGAATACTGCACCGAGCGACACCGAGCTATCGCCGAGGCTGGAGAGATGGTCCACGAAGGGCTCCTTATTCCCCCTGCGATATCGACGCAGCTGTGGGAAAGGAGCAACACCGTGGGGCAATGCTTGATGAGTTAGAAGACACCTAGACGCTACTGGCATTTGATAAGCCCGTACCTGGTATTGGTTACGACTGTGAAAGAACAACCGCCGAAACGAGAGACAAAATGCCGACGAAGAGAAGCTTGGTCGGCCGCAATTTCGCGCCGATGAGGGAAAAACTGGTATAAATAATCGCACCTGCTGATCGATCAGGTGGCTCTCTTGCCTCCCGCGAACTATCCATGAAAACGGGATCTCGTCCCACTCCGCCTGTGCCTCTTTTCCTTTGTCGACTGCCGATTTCGATCGTCGGGGAAGCCTCCCACCACCTCCGCCTGGTCGATAAGTGTCATCGATCCCTGTCCCTTTTCTAGCGATGTCCGCCGTTCCCTTGCCCTTTCGTGGCGACCGCTGCTCCGTGACGTGACTCCCTTTGACCACCCCGCCGTCAGCTGGCAGCACGCCGTGGTCTTGCAGAGCAGCTTCGTCGAGCTTGAGGATTTTCGTTCGAAACGCGCTCGTGCCGACGCTGCCATTGGGATCTGCACTTGTCCGTCCCGAAGACGAATGGGGGTGGAGAGGAGCGGCGAGGTTGAGTGATCCGTTTCCGCTTTCCTCTAGCTCAAACCTTGCTTGCTGCTGAATCTGAGCGAAACGTATGTTCGATTGGGGGCAGAGGTGCGGGACGATGTTAGGGGCGGTACGAGGGACAGAGGGGTACGGTGACGCCAAGTTCTCGTAGGATAACATGGGTTTTGCTCCCCCGCCGTTTGGTGTACGTAAAGGCTGGTAAGCCTGGAAGATCAGTTGTACTCTAGGCTCCAGGGCACCGCTGTTCACTTCGATCAGCCTAGTACTTTTCTCGAGAATTAGAATACGCCACGAGCCCGCTGTGCGAACCTCACGTACCTTATCCGGCAAGTCTGTGTCGCAGAAGTCCCCATGACACATACGAGCGAGCTGGCTACTCCCAAGCGCTCGTCCGGCTGCCACAGTACGCCCAATCTCTCTCGGATCATGCTCCCCTGGTGCAGCAAAGCCCTGAAATGTCACCCCAATATCACGGACATCCCCTGCTCCACCATCCCTCCGGTTTCCCCTAGCCTGAGCTGTGTTGAAAGTGGAAGCCATCTCCGCGCTGCTACGTTCCGTAGACTCTGTTTGTGGCCTCCTCGTGCCACGCACTGTGCTGGCGGGTGATTCGGTTTTGAACCCCCACTCTTCGGCATCAAGCGTCCCTTGGCTGCCGCGAGCTTCGGTCGGTGACATGGCAGTCTGTGCTCGTCGATGCGATTCTGCCCTCGGTTCTCTCCGATCCTCTCGACCTAAGGGGCTTGTTGCAAGCATACCAAGTTCAGAAGGGGGGCACGGTGCACTTTCCCCGATGGCGTGCCCGTATCGTAGCAGGAACAGCTCATCGGCAATGTCTTGTGCGGACTGGAGCCGTGCGGTTTTGGACTGAGACGGGGATGGGCTTCGACGCTGCCGGCTGTACGGAGGCACGGATTTGGTCGTGACACACTCCGAGGAGCGCACGAGCCGCAAGTCGCCCAAGACGTCCTCAACTACTTCCAGCACGAGCCGGAGCACGCGAGCCCCACTAAAAGCCTCTACCCACAGTAGAACTTGGTTGCACAAGCGTCCCAGCTTCTTGTTAAGGGTAGAGGAATTGCATGGTATGCGTTTGGGGACCCCCTTGAGTTGCACCAGGCGGTATGACCGATGCACGTACTTACCCGTACAGGGCTCGACGATGAATGTGTGCTGAATGCTGAGCAGTGGCTCTACGCAAGGGGCTTTCGGGGGTATGAGGACAACCAGAGCAACCGTACCCATGGGAGGGGTGCCCTGGGCCTTGCGGATCTTCCCCAAGTCGACTGTCTTGACGGGGATAGCTTCTCCGGTTGACGTGAAGGCCACAGCTCCGTTCACCCCGACGCCGCCCTCCGCACCGGAAGAATTAGCATCGGCCAGGGCACCAACATACTTCTTCGAAGGTCGAAGGTGCGCCATGGCTTTGGCAAATGTGATGCATCCTTCGTCCTCTGCGATAGCTCTGGACACGACGCGCCCCGCGCTGGTGTAGTAGAGCGCCTCGGGGGATCCATCACAGTAGATAATCGTCTCGAGGATGTCCACAGGGCACCCTGTTCCTTGGCCAAACCGACGGTGAGCGAGGCCCTGCAATACCCAAGGCCAATCGCGTGGCACCCCCTCCTCCCCTGCGAATGCCATGAGCTGCGTGGTCCGGGTGATATGTCGAACATGCTTCTCGGCATCGTGGCCATGGTCAACCTCATCTGGACGTAGCGGTGACGTAGAACGCTCTCGTTCTCGAAGGGGGCTCTTACTCCTGTAGTCATGCACCATTATGCCTGGGGCGTTGTGTTGTCACCGGCGCAACGGCGGTAGCATGTTTGTGACGACAACGTGAGCACGATGAATACTACAGTACATTTCGGCTGTGCCCTTGACGTCGGTTTACGAAATGCATTACTTCTGTCGCACTCATAATCGAATGTGACCCGGATCGTCGTGGGGCTCTTGTATACAAATCGACTACGCAGTGAGAGCTGATAGCAGCCAACTAGCGACCCGGGGAAAGGATATTGGAGGTGCTGCTGTAACAACAGTGGCCTTTATTGTGCCGCCTTTTTTTTTTTTTTCTCGCTTGTTTTTCAAGAACATCATCTACCACCGCAATACAGCAGTTCCAGCGTAATTTGTCACCAAATTCACAACGTGTTTGATGACCTATCTGTGTTTCTACTGATTTCGCGCAACATGTAGTGATAGATTTATGTCGTGGTAAAAGGTAACAGGGTTAACCAAGATGTTGAGGTGGCCCTAAAGATGTTCCTCTTCGCAATGCGGTTAGGTCAAGATGCGGCGCGATTCATTGTTGCGGCGTGATACAGCAGTCCGTCCCATTGTCCCAGTTGCCAGTTGCTACTTGCTGCAATTAAGGAGAAATAAATACACGCACAGAAAGACTGGAATTGCTACCGCTGGAGAGAGCCCCAGTGCCGCGCACAAAGCAGTCTAGAGTGCGTGGCTCGGTGAAGAATCTACAGCAGGCAATCCTCTACTGGTTCGACTGCTAACTCGAAAGTTCCAACGCTACGCCGTGCAAAAATGCCTCAAGCTTTTGTAGCGAAGAAGCCTGTGGCGACCCATCCAGATATGTGTATCGAGAGCCTCCCGCGCAGGCCGCAGGTCGTCACGTTCGACAACGCACTCTTAGCCCTCAACCTCGCTCCCGGGGCGAGGGGAAAAGGCGCAGTCCTCGATGGCTGGACCGATCCTATCGGGGCGCACGATCAGAAAGTCATTGAGGTCGAGCAGGCCATGCTCCAGGAGAAGGAGTTGGTGAGCGGCAACTAACATGTACTACAGCTTGCATACCAATCGACGTTGATGTCATGTTTCCTAATAAAGACAAACACAGAAAGACTACCCATTAGAGATATGACCACAGTCGAACGGGATGTGTTGAAGTCTTCACAGCGAATGTAGGGAAACCGCTGGGTACTAGGCTTATTTGGAGTCTACTGAAGCCTACACACTGAAAATTGTTTTTATCAGTGATGCCAGCAGCTTCTGATCACAAAATCACCGTACAGTAGGTACAAGACATCTCCCCCGCAGTTTTCTCTAAGGGGTCACAGCTTTTTTCGAAGGCAAAGTTTCTTGTCACTAAAATTGATTTCCGTGTACGCCAGAACCCCGCGGGCTACTTCAGACTTCTATGACACTTCGATATGAGTTCGGGTTTCAAATATGCATTCCTTGTGTTTGGATGTTGGGGTGGGTGTGTGCAAAGGAGCAGAAGACTGGGGGGTCGTCTTCCTACACAAGCCAAGCCATCTCTTGGTTCGTACATGTCATGCCCCTCCGGGTGCCGAGTTCAATGGTTCTTGCTCAATACTATGAAATGCAATGACACCCAGTCAAAGACGCTTGTTGACTCTTCTGCCAAAACAAACCTAGCCACATGTAGCATAGCTTCCTGACGCTTCGACGCTCCTCGCGTTTCCGAGCCCCCACCGGTAGGTGCCTATTTCTAGCATAGACAAAGGGTCTCTCACCGCAGGCGCCTAGAGGCGAAAAATATCAATATATTCCTCACGTAACTTGGTTTTCGATTGGGTTGTCGCCTATGGCTGGCCTGAAATGCATGTGGCCTGCCCGGGGATGTCTCGCGCCCTCATGGTCGCCGCGCGTCACGCTAGCGACAACGCGACCTGTGAAGCGGAACGTCCGCTACCCACGAATCCGACCAAAAAAATAATCGCCCCTGCTATCGACTGAGAGGGGATGCGCACCTGCCGTTCGTTCGTCAGGGTACAGTACATTTAGCGAGAGTTTTCATCTCGCCACGGTTTGTTCCGACATATCCGTCACGCAAGCACCCTCGCCATTCAGTGCGCCGCTGTTGATGGGTCTCAACATCTACTATCTGCCTCTGCAACACTGCTGTATACGTGGGTGGTAGTAAATAGCACCACACCACACATGGATGCGCGCTACACACTTTTTGTGGTTGTGGTTGGTTGGCCGCTTCCAAGAAATTTCGGAAGAAGGAAGACCGCGTGGATCATTGGCTCTTTGGGAAAGATGCAAAGAAACATGCGTGTGTATTTTTGTGGCTCCTCCGGACGGGTGTGCTACCATTTGAATGGTAATTGTCCTGCACGTCTCGGCGACCGAAAAAGATACGCTACAAGGTATATTGCGTATTACGTCGTGCATAGTTTCGATACGTCTCTCCCTGTTGTATGTGTTCCTGGAATCGTCGAACGGGTACGTGTGGTTCTTCTCCTTTCTAGCGGCGACCGCAATGGGTTTTAATGCAACACGACAAAAACAATAACAGCACCAACTCGCGTTCAGCTACATCAGTTCGTTTGACACCCGTCTACGTTCGCCTCTACATTCACCGGTTGGCATCCTCTACTGCTACACTATCCTTATGCTTACGTGCGGGTTAAGCGCAGCCCACCACCACCCAAGGGCGGCGGGCGGAGCCCGCTAGTATTGTATTGGGTGATGAACTCTGATCCTCATCATCGGTGCAGAATCCTCCCTGCGGGCCCATACTGCTGTGCAAGTTATTGTCCCAATTAGCTGCCTGCATGTAGCACACAACATCAAAGCTCTTATGCCTATGAGCTGCCATAAACGGAACAACTGCCTGAACCTTGCTAGGTGTCGGCCATCAAGTACTGCACCCGGGTGGAGAAGAACTGGATGGTGGCCATGGGCCTCCTCAACGAGCAGCCGCACAAGCTGGAGGAGTATGTCGCCCTCAAGTTCAAGATGAAAACCTTTGAGAAAAGGTTTGCGAGAGCGACCGTCCTGACGGAGAAACTGGAGCTACAGTCGCAGTGGGAGCAGTACTGCGCCATGGAGCCAATGTACGAGAAGGCAAGCACAGTCGGTTAATTGTCGTTCGGGAGTATCTCACACGACACACTCTGCCGGGTTGTCCCTCTCCCGCACATCTTGAACTTTTTGTCTTGTGTTTACCTTCCGAGTGAAGCCATTGTCAAATTATGCCGAATGTGTCCTACAGGTTCTTGCGGCCAAGGAACAGTACGATCTTGTCAAGATGGACAGGGAACAGGCTCAGGCCGACGTGCTCGCCCACGGCCGGACCATGGCCAAGCTCAAGCGCGAAGAAGTGGAGGCGGCGGAGAAGATTACGGACGACCACATCCACGCGTGCGACCGTGGAAAGTCCCTGGGCGACATTTTTCCGAGCATTAGGGCAAGCAAGAGAAACTATTTGACACCGCGGCATACGGATTGTTTCGACTGACAAAGAAGCGCTCGTGAGCAACAACGCGTACAAACCGTTCAAGGACCCAAAGTGCGAGGTCGATGACTGCGGTTCCCGTTGTCGAGTACCAGTAGGTGACATGGATTCGACATCACGTCACATCTAGCCTCCCCATCATCAACCTGTTCAATCGTGCCATCATTCATGCGGACGTCTCAGGTCGGCTTCATAATCACCAGGCTTTTCGGCATAGTCAACCTGAATCTGGAAGACGTTCCGTTCGAAGAGGTAAACAAGCTTTACATCGGTGACTAAGATGGATTCCCGAGAGAACACTTGAAGGAATATCGTGCATACACCCGTTTTTATGCGTCATGGTGCTGTCTTTGGTGTTATCACGCCGTAGCAGCGACCGTAGAAGGAAAATCTAGAAAGCTCATGCCCGAGGAGCATGCCGTATGTTTTCTTGCAGGTGTGTCGCGCCCTGTTTAGCTGAGAAATGGCCATGTTAAGACCAACAGAGGTGTGCGTGCCGTACACATGTGCCCGATACTCCGTGTTCCCGTCGTTGACTTCCAAGGCTGAGGTTGCTCTTCAAGGGCGTGGCTGACATCCTGGTTTATTCTCCCGTATGCCCTGTATCACGTTTCCTTGGATGCTCTACGGCTGGTGTTGAACGGCGCAATCGAACAACAAATGTGGTAGTTTCCCACGTACAGTAGGTCAAAGACGCAACGAAAATGCCATCGATGGCTGCTGGCTGCAACGCAGGTGTTGCTGGAGTTAAAAGCCGCCCCCCGGCCACATACCTTGGAGTTCTTGCGGTATGATATGAACTTCAACAGGCTCACGCTCAAGTGGGAAACGCTTGAAGAAGTGCGTCAGCAGGGGAAGTACGTCAGGGATGCAAGAGAAGAGGTGAGAGAGTCAATCGACTGCCGTGACGGAAGAATATTGTGGTCAACGTCGGAGAATTGTGTTGTGTAAGAAAAGTAGCAGCGGCAAGACCGTTTCCACATCCCACTCACGGCACAGGCTGGTTGCCGTTACAGACAGCAGAGAATGGGCCAGGAACCACCGGCACCCCACGCGTGCTTCTTCAAGCGAAACGATGGTGAAGGGCATCACGTGTTGCAGGAAACAGGAAACCGTTTCGAATGCTACGGAACCCCCTTGTAGAATACACGCCACTACCATAGAACAGCGGTCGTTCTACGGATCCCTCCGCTTCGTGAGTCTCAAGTTTTTTCGCAAACAACCGTGGGTTTTCGCGTGGGACGTTCGCTTCCCGGTTATTTCGTCTCGTAGCCGTCGCCGTTGGCAACATTACAAACATCGCCCGGCGTCCTTGTTATCCCTCCGTAAACTCGCGGTAGCGGCTGTACTTCGTGAAGGCCTGCGCGGAGGGAGACATCGACAGGTTGCAGGTCAGACTCGATCGAGGCGAAGACGT